AAGTGGTAGAGATAGAGTTACAGCTGAGAGGAAAGGGCTGGAAAATGTTGTGTGAGGCACGCCCCAGGATCCCTGTCCTGGAGGATGCAAATGGCTCAACTTCAGAGGCACCAGGAACCTAGTTCCCAAGAAATTGACCCCAGTTGTAAAATAATCAGGTTACTGATAGCACCTGCTCCTAGTTACCCGCCATGGATACGGGCGCGTTTCCACCATTTCCCCTCTGCTCTCCCGTTTTCTCCTCCTCCTAGGCTGGGCAGTGGCTGGTGCTAGTTTGCCTGCAGAGGAGGAAGGGCCTCAGAACCTGGGTGGAGAGAAACTGAACCTGCCCATGAATTTTGGACTGCAGATAAGAGCAGGGAGGGTTTGGTCCAGTTCCTCTCCGTCTGCCCAGACAGAGTCAGGGCTCCGGGATTGGGGTGTGTCCTAGGGGCCAGCTGGGTGCTTGCTCACCTTCTCCCCACACATTCTGAAGTTCCCCCTTCAGCAAGGCAGCGGCGCTATCACCTTGAAACCCACAGAGGCTCAGGCCCTTTGGTGCTGAATGATCACCTTTTATCAACAGGTGGCAAGGCTCTAGGCTTCAAGGTGTCTGAGGTCAGAGGTAAGAGGAGCCAGGGGACCAGGGAGGGGGCAGGCAGCTGGCTGGTCACTCTCATGGGGTCTGGGGAGAGGTGGCCCAGAAGGACTGCCTACACTCTTTCATTCTCTAATGAAAATTTCATTGAAGTTGGTTTACAGAAAGAGAGAAATTAGTAGATCAGATTCCCTTGAGAGTCCAGAAGGGAAAAGCAAGAGGTGCCTGACTCGTGACCTCTGGGTGAGCAGGGAGAACACCCTAGGTCAATGCACAGGCCCAGGAGCCTGCCACTCACAAGGCTGCGCTGGCTGCCTCCTGCTGTTCCTTGGGACTGCGGTACACGGTACACAGGCACACTGTCGTGAAGGGGCCTGTGTAGCCTGCTCCCCCAGCCTTGGCTCCGCGCTGGGCAAGGTCGAAACCTCCCCTCTGCAGCTGGGGGCTACGCGGGGGCAGCCGACTGGCAAGGGGGTCACTTTCTGTGTTCCCGCCAGGTTGACTATGCTTGGTTTGTCCTACAAAGCGGCTCCAGCAGCAGTGCTAGCACCTTACACAGAACCACAGCCTTCAGAGCCGGGGCTCACGCAGCGGAACCCTGCGGGCTGGGAGAACACGCTCTGGGGAGAGCCCTGCAGTCCTCTGGTGACGTGATGGGGGGGTCCGCAGTCCCCTTCTCGCCCGCACTTACACACGGGGCAGAATCTTTGGCTGGTGTCTCTGCCTAGATGACAAGGTCCTGAAGGAGAGGAGCCTTCATCGTCTGTGCCCCTGGCACAACATGAGCACATAGTAGATGTTCAGAAAATGTGTGTCTACTCATTGAAGAGAGCGCGCGTGTGTGGGAGTGTGTGTAAATATAGCTCCATCTCCCATGAGTTTCCTTTGGGTCTCATCCTGAGACGCTCTGTCGTTAAGGAGTCTGGCTCTTACAGTTGAAGGGAGGAAGCGGTGTGGCGGCTCTGTGATGTGGGCTCTGGGCACTGGCTGCCTGGGTTCAGACCCAGCTCTGCTGCTTGCACTGGTGCCCTTGGGCAGCTGGGGCAGATCTCCCAGGGCAGGTCCCCGTCCTGGGATCGGCCCGACTCGGTGCCTGCTTTTTTTTTTTAATGGGGCTGTTGAAGGGAAATTTCATGAAACCCTTGCCCCAGAGCACCCTGGGTGTTCGCTATCAGGTGATTGCCGGCGTCAATGTAAAATCTAGCTCACCTCTTCCCAGTTGGACTTGGCAGGGCAGGGTGGAGGGGGTCGTTTTGGTGGACAGTTAAGCGATCTGAGTCAGAGAAACCCTAGGCTCCGCATGGGGCGGCCGGCCTCAGCAGGGAGACGTTGCAGGGCAGCGCGCTGCCCCCTGCCCGCCGGCCTCGATCCAGATTTCACGTGGTCTCCGTTCAAGAACTGTGTGCGGTGGGACCCAGGCTGTCACTGTCGAGCTAATGCCACATCCTCATCAAACACCAGGATCCTGCCCGATAGTTCAGCCCGTTCGCTGTGTCTCACAGGCCTTGTGGGCGGTCCAGGAAGCACACAGCCTGGCCGCCCATTGGAAGGATGGAAGGTTATCTGGGGAAACTGAGGGCAGAGCCGCACAGTGTGCTGATGCGCTGCAGCTGGGGGGGCATATGCCTGGCTGCAGGGGCTGCTGGTCCAGACAGATTGTGTAACAAGAACAAGTGGTGGAGCCAGAGCCAGAGTTGGTGGGCGAGACAGGTACACGTTCGGAATTTGCACCGTGGAGGCCACAGGACAGCGGGTGTTCCTGCTGAGGGGGCAGCTGGCCAAGGAGGGCAAGGCCTTGAGGGCCGGAAGGAGGGCGTGTCTGGGCCTTCAGGATTGTGCACATCTGGCTCTGCCACTTGTAAGCTTGGGCAGTCACCTTAACCGCTTGAAGCCTCAGTTTCTCATCTGTAAAATGGGGCCGATAACTACCTACCTTCATTAGGCCCACAGGTGAGCCTGTGGAGAGGATGAAATGAGTCGATCCAAGGGGGGCACTTGGCACCTAATGAACTTTGGCATCTGCTCACGTTTTAAACTTAGTGGAATGAGGGTAGCACGTGGGCACCTTGAGTGCACCCAGCAGTTCTGACTTCTCCCCGCTCCTGGGTGAGAACCCTGTGTGCTCTGTGGACCGGCTTCAGACAGCCCTGCCCAGGCTTATGTGCACCTTGGGAGGGGACACTCCAGTGTGGCGCCACTGCCCCTGGCCTACCCCTCTGGCCACAGTGGCCTCCTGGCTGCTCCTTGGACCCACCCGCATGTACCGGTGCCTGGAAGGTCCCTGTGTAGACCCCGGCATAGTAACCTTCCTCACTTCCTGCCAGCTTCCTCTCAGATGTTTCCTAACCGGCGAGGCCCTCCTTGGCCACCTGACAAATGCGGCTGTGCAGGCCCCTCTCCCGCCTGCTCTGCTCCGTTCTGCTCCATAGCCCTCCTCACCACAGCCATTAGGTGTTTTTCTGCTGATTGTCCATCTCCTCCCCTGCTGGACAGTGAGTGCCAGAGAACCAGGGCTCTGTCTTGTCCACTGCTCCCCAGTGCCCAGAAAGTGCTTGGCTCATAGTAGGTGCTCAGTAAATGCTTGGTGAATGATGGCATGAAGCATTTTGAGTAGGTGGCGCTTCCAGATGTTAATAGATTCAGTCGTATAAATCATGGGTGTTTTCAGGAACACCCAAGAGCCAGAAGAGGCCTTCCTCCCTCAGGTCAGGCCCTGAGCACAGCGTGCCCTGGGCAGCCAGCAAGGATCAAGTGGCCCAAGCGAGGACGCGCCTGCCCTTGGCTCCCAGAGCCTCCAAGGGTCCCTCTCCAGCCAGCCACCCCTCTCACTCTCAGGTTCCATCCTGGAAGCGCCGGGGAGAGTTTTGTTGTCCCTTTGTGCCTTTTGTGCCGAGGCAGCCTTTTGAACAAGCGTGCCCCTCCGGGTGTGAGAACGTAGTCTGCGTGAATGTGAGTGAGCGGGTTTTCACCCAAGGAAGACTGGGTGGATGTGCTCTTGTGCAAGGAGCAGGGCGGCCAGCAGGAGGGAGGCAGGGTGAGTGGAAGTGCGGGGTTGGGTGGGAGGGGAAGAAGGCACAGGACACCTGGGCTCTGTCCCCTGAGGCTCTGAGTGTGCCTCGTGGGGACCCCTGAGCTGGGCTGAGCTCGCGTGGTGCATTTGGCCGCAGAGGGCACACACTGGCTGCACAGAAGCTGTAAATTCCAGGAAACTCCCTGCCAGCCCGGCGTCGTGGGGGAGGGGCGGATAATCCACGCTGGTTCCCTAGCACTTGGAGAACAGATGTGTCTGCCTCAGGGACAGCCTCCGAAAGTTCGAAACAAAGTGTGTTTGCTCATTAGAAGAGAGTCATTTGTGAGGGGGCCCTGGAGGGGAGGCTTTTTTTTGGGGGGGGGCCTCTGCCAGAGGTCCTTACTGGGGACCTACAGATGCCGTTGTATCCTGCTAGAGAGGAGAAGGGAGGGGGCAAAGCCAGCTTGGTGGGGGGGTGGGGAGTATTAGGGGGAGGAGGTGCTGGGTCATCTTTCTTGCGTTTTACAGCTAGCTCCCAAACACAGTTGCTTGCTGCTCCTGAAAGAGGCTGGGCCAGAAGGAGGTGGGGTCCCTTCCCACTGGAGGACTGGATTGAAGGGGCCCCGCCCTGGGGGTTCCCAGATGCCTGGCCAGGGGTTCACGGAAGCCAGCCAGGGGAGAGTAGGCAGGCGTGGTCCTCTCCAGCAGGCCCTCCGGCTGTTTGGAAGGCCCTGGCGGGCCCCCCAGGCCCTGGAGCCAAACCCCCTTTGCGGTCTGATCGGATCCCTCCCCGCCTGCCCCACCCCCTTCCTTCTCTGCACTCCAGGGGCTGGCCTTTCCAGCCCTGGAAGCTGCCCAAGAGCCTATCTTTGAAGCACAGCAAAGGTTAGGAAGGAGGAAGACAGAAATGTCCTCTGGGCTGGGGGAGTGGGAGAAAGGAATTCCATGCATGCTCCACGGAGCTGGAGCCGAGTTGGGAGGCAGCCCTAGTGGGGGCGGTCGGCTGGGCCTCGCCAGCGTCCGCATGTCTTGCTACCCACTTTCTGCCGCCTGTCCCTGTGCATGAGCGAGCCTTCTTCCCAGGGCTGCGGGGCGGGGAGCGGTGGCCCTTGTTTACAGCACTCTCGCTTCAACCTTGGCTCACAAGGGTAAGAGCCAGGCCCTGCTATCCGCCCCTACAGGATGCAAGACCTCATAATTGTCTTCAATTACAGACAGCGCCGGCCCTCAGCCCTGGCTTCCGACAGGAACCAGAGCCCGAACCACTTGCACGGGGGGCCAGGTTTGGGGTCTCCCTGTGGCCTTTGGGGGCTTCCAAATGCCCACCAGCCCTGGGGTTCACCCAGAATGCTGCCTTGGGGCTGCACAGAGCCTGTCCCTGTTGAAACAGCCACCTTCTTTGTCCCCGATCAGGATGAAACTTCTGTGAGCAGTGAGGATTTTGATATGAACGACTCCACATGGATGTCAGCTGACCCACACCTGGCCTCCAGCCTGAGTCCCAGCCAGGACGAGAGGATGCGAAGCCCTCAGAACCTCCACAGCCAAGAGGACGGTGAGTGTCTCTTGGGGGCCAGTTGGGGAGGGGCCCTGCCCACCTACAGGGGCCTAGGAATCTGGACTGGGGCCTGGAGGGGGGGGGGTGACCAGGCCCAGGCCGACAGCTGCCCCTGGGCAGCCTGGTGTTCTCGGCATCCCCACCAGTACCCCAGCCCCCTGGCTGCAGAGAGACCAAGGCCTCCCAAGGTAAACGGCTAGAGCTCTCAGGCCGGCAGCCTGACGGCCATCCTGCCTGCCTCTTTGCCCTGATGCTCACAGGCTGGTGGAGTATGGATGTCCAACTTACCGCCACTCAGGTCTGGGGAGGCTAACAGTTGCCTGACCCAGAAAAGTTCAGCTGCCTCGCAGTGAAAGCAAGAGTTAGCTTCTGCAGCTCAACATGAGGCTACGGGACAGGGTTCCTGCTGTCACCTCGTGTCTACTGTGTGTCCTCAGCCCCTTGCGATGAGAAGTGGCCTGGCTGAAGAGCCATCTGGCCTCTTCCCTAGCCCCCGCTGCCCTCCAGGGCCAGCAGGCAGCTTCCTGTGGCCTCCCTTGGAATAGAGGCCTTCTTCTTGGGATGGGAGTGTTGGAGTCAGAAGTCAGATCCGAGGGGTCCACTCCAGAGCACCTGTGTGGAACCCTCATGGGGCCGGGGCGACAGTGCTTGTGGCACTCACATGCAGTTGTGGGGCTGGGGTGGCACCTGTAGTCAGTGTCTCTGGCGGCGCTCTGGGTTTCTGGGGAGGTGATTGGGGGTGGAGGCTGAGCCTCAGAGATCTGGGGTGTAGAGCCAGCAATTAGGAAGGGTCAAAGGTCGGGCCTGGAATGCGGGAGGGAAGTGCAGGGTTAAAAAGGGGTGTAATGTTAGCTCTGTGAAACGGGTTAGCCTTAAAGAGTAAATAAGGGGTAGGAGCCTTGCGGTTTGGGTCAAAGTTCGTCTCCATGGCAGAACCTGCGCCTGCCTCCCGACTACTCTCATGGGCCTGAATCCGGCTTTGTCTGGAAGGAGCCCCAGCCTGGAGGCAGCTGGGGAAGCTGGGCCAGGGGCTGGGGAGCCCAGAGGGCTGGGATGTAAGGCTGCCAGGAAAGAAAAAGACTTTTGTGCCCTGACACCTCGTGAGGTCAGCACGACCCCCTCGTGCTGTGAGCCTCCCTACCAGAGCCTCCCCGACCAGTAGCACCTCCCAGTATTCCCACGGGGCGGGGGCAGCCACATGCTGCTGGGGGCTCTGGGGCTCGGAAGTGCCCAGCCACTGACCTCCCTCCTCATCTGAGCCGATCGAAGGCCACGCCCAAAGGCCACACCAAGGGCTTGCGCCAGCAGAGCTCAGCCAAGGGCATAGGGTTATACCTTCCCAAGAAGGATCCAGAACATTAAAAAAAAAAAAAAACTCTGAGTAGTAGGACTGAGTGGGGGCCGTATTCCCTCCGCTCATTCTTGAAAAAGTCCTATGTTCTTGTTGCTCAGAGCCATCCTTTGAGAGTCTGCTCCTCTGTTGGAGACCCCTCCCAGTGAGGTTTGGCACTCTGGGGGGGGGGGGGACCTCCAGGGCTAGGCAGCAGAAGCGGGTATTTCTGTGGGGGTCACAGGGCTTTCTCAGCGTCCGTTGCCCTGCTGCCTGGGGCTCGGTCCATCATGAAGATGCAGCAGAGAGACTGGGGTCAGCGCATCCTGTGGCTGGTCCCACAAGAGCTTCTCGGCAGGGGGTGGAGGGCGCCGACCCCCCCCGCCCCTCCCGCCACCCCCAGGCCCTCCTGGTTGTGGGGACTGGGCTGAAGCAGGCTGGCCTGCTGACAGTACCGGGGTGTTTATCAGGGCCGGCAGCCAGAGCTGGAGACAGGGAGGATGGTGTTGACTGTGATACCATCAATTTAATTATTTAATCAGAGGCTGCGTCTGGAGGCTGTGGGCTGATGTGCTGGCCAGAGGCCGACCAAGACCCAGTGCAGGGGGTCGCAGGCCTTGAGAAGGCCCAGTTGGCTGGCCTGGTCTCTGCTGCCCCTGCTGGCCCCGGGTCCATTGGTGGCTGCTGTGTTTCTCAAGGGTTGTGGGTTCCCATAGGGTTTTGGCTGGGCACAGGCCTGGCCTCGAGCCCTCCTCCAGCCCCCACAGCAGCTCGCAGCCAGCTCCCCTCTCTGAAGGTGCTTATGGTGCAGACACAAGCTCCCATCAGTGAATCAACGGGAGACCGCCAGGCTGCTGGGTGTTCTCATCTCCCCTGTTGTTAACGGAGGGCTGGGTGGGGACAGGACAGGCAGGGGCTCTGGTCGACCCCATACTCCAAACCTAGCCATAGCCCTCTGTGGTGGCTTGCTGTGTGGTCTCTGGCCCTCTGTCCTCCACGGAACTGGCAGGTTGGAAAGATGAGGCCTAAAGCCCCCATTGTGCGTCCCGCAAGGCACAGACCCTGTCAATCTTGCACTCTGCTCTGTCCCCAGTGACTCCAGCTGTATGCTTGGCGCGTTCTAGGGGCCTGCTGAATATTTGTTGCCTGAATAAATAAAGAAACAGACATTTATCAAGACACCCCCCCCCCGCCCCCCCAGCACACCATCCGGAGGGCATGTAGGTCCACCCTTATCAGGGACAAGTTGGGTTCTTTGTTCCTGAGGACATCCCCAGTCTGAGCACCTGGGTCTTTTCCCTTAGCCAGAAAGTAGGGGGGCTTCCTAAGCTGTGCCAGGGAGCACACCTCCCCATGCCCACCAGTGATTCAGCCCAGAACCATTTCAGGAAGCCAGGTAGCTTGCTCGTGTTCACACCTTTAGGTGTGTGTGTTGGGCCCTCCTCTTTCTCTTCCTCCTCCCCTCCTCCATCACCCCCTCCTCTCCCCATCCCTTTTCAATTTTTTAAATTTTTTTAATGTTTATTTATTTTTGAGATACAGAGAGAGAGAGCATGAGCAGGGGAGGGGCAGAGAGAGAGGGAGACACAGAATCCGAAGCAGGTTCCAGGCTCTGAGCTGTCAGCACAGAGTCTGACGTGGGGTTCGAACTCATGAACCACGAGATCATGACCTGAGCTGAAGTCTGCCACTTAACTGCCTGAGCCACCCAGGCGCCCCACCTTTTCAAATTTTAACAAATGCAGATGAAGACTGGGTCTTGGCCAGCAGTTAGGGCTGAGACCAGAAATGAATTGGCACAGTAGCTTTCAGCCCCGGGAGCCTGTCTCTGAGGTTTGCGGGGAGTGGGAATGCGCCCGCACTGAAACATGCACGGTTGTGCTTTTTCCCCCAAGCCCACCACTGCCTGCGAGGATGTGCTTCACAGATCTCCTTTCTGGGTGCTGTCTGGCTCCCTGAAATCACAGCAGGGGACACGGAGGGAGCGCCTGGGGGAGACTTGGAGGGGGGCACCATGTACATGGCGCTTCAGCTCTCACTGCCATGGGTGAGCATACACTCTTGTGCCACCTCACCAGACATGGGAGATGAGGAAGAGAATTTGGGTGATCTGACCAGACTCGGGGTGGTTGCCAGAGGAGGCTGCGCCCCTGTTTCTGCCTCGGCAGGTAGTGGCCATATGTGAAGTTCCCCAGAGCAGTGGGGAGCCTGGGACCCAAAGGAGCCTCCCCTCATACACCCCAAGCCCTGTCTTCTTGGGGGTAGAGTGACCCAGGCCCGTTCCCACTTCGGCCTCTTGCCCATGCGTGGCAGAGTTCTTTCTAGACCCGCAGCTAAGCCCTGTTTGAGGCTTTGGCCTTGGAGTCCAGATGGAGCTCTGTGCACATCACAGGTGCCTGGTAAATGCGTGGCTCAGGGGGTCCCTTCTGGGGTAGAGGGAAGGTGCTCTGAAGAAGCTAGCTGTAGGCTGGCGTTGACTTGGGACCAGAGAATCTGTCAGGCTGTAGCGATGCCCCGTCCGTGGGATTATCTGTCTGAGTCCTCTGATGTCCAGTCCTCCCCCAGAGAGCATGAGCACCCTCAGAGCTGGGCCCCCAGCACCCAGCACAGAGCCTGGCACGGAGCAGATGGGTGCAACTATCTGTCAAATGAATGAGTGAATGAACAAGTGAACCAGAGCGCATATGTGAGCAAGGCAGGCCCGCAGGCGTCCTGAGCTCCAGTTGCAGGGCCAGGCCAGGGCCTGCTCCTTGATTTCCCCTTGATGGGCTCCACTGGCCTCTTGCTCTGCCCCTTCCTGAACGGAAAATGTGAGGCCTGGCCTCCAGAAGGGATGCGAGGGGGTGGGGAGCGGACATTACTCACCTCTCCGGCAGACAGGAAGCCGGCGCCCAGGGAGAGCAGAGGGTCCCGCTTCCCTCTTCCTGCTCCGTCCTCCTGCAGGCTTGTGGGGGTGGGGATTGCCGGCCAGGGGCTGGATGGTGTCCTGGGCATCTCAGGGCCTCCCAGACGAGGCCGCAGCTCCAGGCCCCCGGGACACACCGGACCTCTCCTCTTCCCTCCCTCCAGTGACCCGGGGCCGGCACTTCCTGCCTGCAGATGGGAGGGTCTGGAGCCTTCCCTCCAGTGCCCATGGCCAAAGGCATTGCAGGGGAGGATGTCTTTGGTTCTTTCAGGACTCATCAGTTTGGTCACAGGGAAATTGAGCCCCTGTTCCTGGCTTTGAGGAGTGGGACAGAGAGGGACAGGCACAAGAGCGCGGGAGCCCTGGCAGGCTGTAAGCCTCCTGAGGGCAGCCATGGCTCTGCAGAAACATGTCTTCGGTTTTCCCTGGTTTCCCAAATATCACTAGTATTCTAGAAATTTCAGGGGAGAAAATGGAGCAAAAGAAAAGGGGAAAAATACCACTATTTGGGGCATATTTTTCTCCGTCTTTTCTGTGCATATAAGTCTTGTTTTAAAAAAAAAAAACAACAACAAAAAAACAAGCAAACAAAGACAGGGGAATTGTGTAGTGTTCCAGAGCCATCTTTTTTTCTTCTTAATGTCATTTGCCTCTCCTGTCAGTGATGCGGCGTTTTTTGAAGACTGTCCAGTCATCCCAGTGACTGGAATCCCCATTCCCAAGCCTGCCTGCTACTCAGAGCTATGACCATGCCTTTCCTAC